GTGCGGAGCCGCAGCTCAAGCTGCTCCCGCTTCTCACAGGCAGCCTGGAGCTGGCCCAGGGCTGCCTGCAGCCGCTCCACCTTCTCCACATAGGCCCGCTTCTTCCGCAACTCAGCCTCTGCCTTGGCCGCCCGTGCCTGGGCGCTGCCTAGTGCCTGCTCCAGCAGCTCTGCCCGTCGCCGCTGGTCCTCGTTGGCGCTGCGCAGCAGGGACACCTCCCGCTCCAGCTTCTCCTTCTCCTGCTGGTGCTCGTAGCCTGCAAAAGAGCTCCCAAGTCTCAGCCAAGGAGGCTTTGCCACCCCTTCGGCTGGTCCACGAAGCCCCATGGGGTCTCTTTGCTCCCCCAAACCTGACTGTGCCATCCCTCCATCAGCACACAAGGTATATGGGGGCCATGGGCACCACAGCTGCTCAGGTAGACGGCCAAAAGCCTCCATTTGCCATGCTCCAGCCCAAATTTTGGCTTGTGAAGGGTAAAAGCCGCTTGGCATTAATCCAGCCACTTTAGGGAAGGTGATGCGATTCCTCCCACATAACACCAGCACTCTGTCTTTCTGCTAAAATAATGGATTTAGGTATATTTTCCCCCAAAAAAAGCCCAGGCCTGCACAGCTGCGAGACATAGGAGGGAGGAGGGAGAGAAGGGCCGTACTGGTGTGGGGCGGGGGTGCGGGCTCGGTGCTGGAAGAGCCGGCAGGGCGGAAGGAATGCAGAGAATGCGGGTCACGCAGCCGGCCAGAGTCCAGCGCCAAGAGCAGCTCCATCATCCCCAGGGAAGGGCGAGAGCTGCTGCCTGCCACCCGCCGCCTCCTCCTCCAGCTGAAAGGGAACGCACTGAGCCCCACCGTCCTGCTCAGAGCCCCACTGTCCTGCTCACAGATGCCACAGGGAGCTGGGTGAGGACGGGCATCCCCCAGGACTTACTCTGTGCCAGGAGTTTGGCCACGCTGCCCTGGTTGCTCTCCTGGCTTTCTTGGGTCTTGCTGGCCAGCTGCTTGTTTGCTGATTCCAACCGCTCTGGTCCAAAGGCAATTAAACCCAATGAAGAGTTAAATACAAGATTTTGGCCGGGGGAAGTGAGAGAAGCCTGGCTTCCCGTGGGGGGGAAAGCTGGAGCACAGAGAGCACCCACAGAGATGGGAACACCAAGAGTCCCTCACCTTTCAGGTCCCGGTTGAAGTCCTGGAGCCGTCGCATCTCGCCATCTCTCTTGTTCCTCATGGCTTTCTCCAAGGCTTCCCGCTTGGAAGATGCCTGGACGAGGTTTTTGTAATCCTCAGAGATGCGCTGGATCTCGCTCTCCAGCTGGGGTGGAGAAAGGGACAGGCCGGGGTTAGATATTTGTGGAATGAGGAAAGAAAATGCTGGACAAAACTCACCCGGGTAGCTCAGCCCAACCTGAGCTGCCAGAGGAGCTCAGCGCACCCATGGGACCCTGCAGGCTGACCCCCAGCGCACATTTTGGGGAGGGAAACTAATTTTTTCTGCCTTTCTTCTCACAGAAGAGTCCCTCTGCGGGTTTTGGCTCTGCTGCAGCCTGGCCAGCAGGGAACAGCCACCCCTTGTACGTGGCTGCACAAAGGGCTTTCTGTGGTGGCTGGGGGGGCACAGGCAGAAGGAGGTGGTCACCAGAGAATGGGCTCCTTCTCCCCCGTCCCGGCTGCCACACGGCCAAAACGCAGCTGTTTGGAGGGGAACAAGCTGCTGGAGGGAGGGGGAGAAGGGATTAAAACACTAAAGGGGGTGAATTTTCACAGCAGCTGGTTGAGCATCCCCCTGGGTGGGTGGACGCGATGCCATGGCCGCAGTGCTGCCACCATTCCCTCACCTTCTGGATGCGGCTCGCCTTCTCAGCGCAGCTCTCCAGCTCCCGCCGCAGCTTCTCGCTCTCCCGCTGAAGCCTCTCGTTCTCCTGCAGGACTGCATCTGCCCGGGCCAGGTGGCTGCTGGCCGAGACCACCTGGGCACTCACCAGGGCCTCCACGCCAGCGGGACCCAGGGTGCCTGGGCACAGGGTGCTTGGTGGCGGCAGGAAAGCGGTGGGGAAGTGGGTGGGCAGCACCCTGCAGCAAGGGAGGAGAGGGACACTCAAGGAGCTTGGCAGGGTGGGACAGCACCTCCAGCATCCCACCGACCGCTCCAAATCCATGGGCCAAGCAGGTGTCGATGGCTTTGGGTGGCCCCAAAGTAGGAGGGAGGCTCCAGGAAGAACCCATCCTGCTTTTCAGAGCTCGGAAGCATTTACTTTCCAAAAGGAGCTCACCCGAGCACCCTCAAACATGAAATAAACCCCATCTCACAGCGATGCCTTGACCTAACAACTCCAGGACCTGGCTGGCGGGTCAGGATGGGCTCCCAGCCCCCCAGGCCCACCCTATTGCTGAGGATGCTGCAGATGGATGGCAGCTCGGCAAAGGATGCACCTCAGAAGCTGGCAGCGCTGCCCCTTTTCCTTGTTTTCTGGGCAAAATAAGGGCTCCTGGCATGGCTCCTCACCACCAAACTATCAATACATCCTCACTGTATTTGGAGGAGCAGAGCCAGCCTGGCCGCCCCTCACATGATCGCTCCAAGTTCCTCAACAACCCGCAGCCACCTCGAGTACCCCAAGTGGGGCAGCAGTGCATGGCCCGGCTCCGCTTCACTGCAGGCTGCCCGCCAAGGGCCTGCATTCCTGTGGGATGATATAGGAGCGAGGAAGAATAAACACATCTTCCTCATGGCTCCCCTTCCCCTCTTTGTTGCCTGGAAGGAGAAGGTTTTCCTGTCAGTGATGCTATCGCTCTCTGCCTGGATACGTTAGTAGGGCTGGGAGCAGCATTCATCCTCCTATTGAGCCTCCAATTCCTTCTTCCCATCGTTTTCCACACTGGAAGTAGTTGCTTCCAGCGTTCCCCAAATGCCAGGCCATGCCTGGACCTCCAGGCTCCCCAGACCTCTCTGTGGCCCTCTCTCAGAGATAACCTGGGGCTTTGCTGGAGGCACCAAGCTGCCAAAGGGAAGGGGAGAGCTGCCCAGTGCCGCTTACCACATCCACGAACCACCCAGCACCAGCCCAGGCTCAGCTTGGCAGCAATCCTACCACACCAGCAGCAAACTGGTGCTACACAGACATCCCCAGCTCCAGACCACGGGGTCGGTTTCCACGGAGCGGGGAGTGTGTTTGCTTTCTGCCCTGCCCCATACCTCTTCCACATTTAGCTGTTTGCTGAGCTGGTTCCACCTCCTAAATTAACCCCAAATTCCTCCCAGTGCATGGGGAGGGGGCAGGCTCCTCAGAGGCAGCTGAATTTTCATCACTGGTTGGAAAAACCCAACTGTGCTAGGGGAAACTGGGGAGAGGAGAGAACCAGAGGGGTCCCTGCAGACCCCTGCAGCCTGAGCCAGATCTGGCCCTGCAAGGACAAGGGGTTTGGCAATGCCTGCCCCCAGGCCCCCACTGCTCTCCGCATCCCGCATCTTCTGAGTGTCCATCCCAGCCGCTCCCAGGGCGCCCTGGCTGAGGCTGCAGGTTACCTGATGTCAGGATGCTGAAATCCAGGGCCTTCCCGGGAGCAGGGTTGGGGTTCAGCCAGGTAAGCGTCCTGGGAAGGGATGACATATGGATATTCCGGTGGGGGTCCCCGCAACTCTGGCCCCTCAGGATGCTGTCCTTGGAGGGCAGCGAGCTGGTGGTGGCGGG